TATGGATTATTGTTGAAATTTCGTGGTATGTAGGAGGGCTTGTGTTGCAGAGTGTTGGAGGCTTTTGTAATTTTGGAGCCCAGCTAGGTATTTGGTATTTTGTTTGATGAGGATTGTTGAGAATCGAAAGAAAATATTGATGGCAATCAGTGACACCAAACAGTGGTTTCAAATTTTCTGTTTGGTCGAATATTTTCTTACATGTCCCCCAAAAGCGCTGTTTTAGCTGAGACGTGACGTCGACTGATTGATCGCATTTTGTTAATTTTTTTGACTTTATTTGAGCTCTGAGCGCTTTGCTTGTTGTGATGATTTGGTCATCGAAGCGCTGATTGTTGTGGCCTAGTAGCTTTAGCTGTTTTAGTTCTTTTTTTAGATTTTTGATTGATTTGTTGGAGCTGGTATTATTGACTGTTTGTTGTTTAAGAGTGCCATAGTTTGTGGCGAAATAGTTGTAAATCATTTGTTGGAAGGCGGACGTGAAGTTGTCGATATTGTCATAGCTTGGAAGTGATTGTTGTTGTAGTTGAAAGTAAACGTTGGCTTCGGACCATTGGGTCGACGTCTTGGGTAGTTTGGTACCCGGCAGAGTGGATTCGATTGTGTCACTGGCCGGCTTTGATGGAGAAATTGGTGTTGTGCGACTTGATTTGTGAGACGTTTGTTGTTCTGGAGGTGATGCTGTGTCGTCAACTTCGTTTGTTTGGTTATCCTTTAGTTGAATTTTTTTATGCATTTTGCATGAGCGCTGGTGCATAATTAACCCTTTCCTGCCTTTGCATCCTTTTCCGCAACAACATGTTATAATATTATTTTCTAAATTTATTGAATGCCATTATAAATATCAGATGAAATGTTTATGTTTGATTTAACATTTGAACGAACAACGTTGTTGTTTGAATTAGCAGTATTTTTAGTACACCTCCAGGAGTGTTTATTAACGTTAACGAATGTTTTGTCGCAATGTGGACATTTAGTTGAATTAACAGTATAAATTGAATTAATTAAAATAATTAAAATAAAATATTTAAGGTTAATGAAATTTAATTTTAAATGTATCGCCATAATCCTCTAAATTTTTCAAGACAACAGAATCTATTTTAAAACTAATTTGAACGACTTAAAATCAAAATTATGCTTAAAAATAGTGAGCTGAACGTAAACGTCCAACCCTCGTATTATTCGAGCAATAATAATCCTTTTCCGCAATAATAATAACAATAATAATAATAATAGTAGTAATAATAATACCGACGACAGATGGTGAACAGTCAGTCGTTGGAGGTCAGCAAATCGTTAGAGGCGAAGGTCGCCAAGGTCGAGGGGGACCTCAGAATGTATCAGACACTGTTAGTGGTTCTTCTGTGGTAGTTCTTACGTTTGTTTGTTTGTTTGTTGGTTTTTTGGTTGTTTGTGTGTGTGTAACTGTTTGTTTGTTTGGTTGGCTGGCTGGCTTGTTTGTTGTTTGTTTGTTTGTTTGTTTGTTTGGTTGGCTGGTTGTTTGTTTGTGTGTGTGTAATTGTTTGTCTGTCTGTCTGCTTGTTTGTTTGTTTGTTTAGTTGGTTGTTATTTGGTTGGTTGTTGTTTGGTTGGTTGTGTTGTGT